GTTTCTCAATAGGCGCTATTTGCCTGAAGCAGACTATACTATCAAGCCTGAAGAATCCAAACACTGGGAAATAGAACATGCTGTAAAAAGTGATCCCCCCAAATCCTGGGAAATGCTTGTTGATGTTGAGGAAGAGGAACAGAAAAAGCAAAACCCAGAATCTGTGAAACCATTGGAATCTGTAAACCAAGAAGAAAAGAAGTTGGAACTTTCACGGCGTTGGGAATCTCCTCTTAAAGAAGTTGATGATCATAAGCATGATGTTCCAAAGCCTTGGGTGGCACCAGTTAGAGAAGAGCAGGCCTCTTCCAAACCCTGGGTAACAAAAGTGAAGGAAGAGCAGGAACAAAAGCAAGAAGGTCCCAAACCTTGGGTAACTAAAGCTAAAGGAGGATTGGAACAAAACCAGGAAAAGCCAAAAATATGGGTGTCTCAGACCAATGTGGAAACTTTGAAAAAATCAGAACCTGTGAAGCCTTGGGATGCATGTGTCAGAGAGGAGATGGAACAAAAGAAACAGCAACCTGAAAAGCCATGGGTGGTGCATATAAGGGAAGAGACTGAACAAAAATCTCAGCCCCAAAAGGCTTGGGAAACATCTGAGAGATCGCAGCAAGTGATCCAGCAGCCATTACAGAATCCTCCTAAGGTCTGGGGAGTTGGGAATATTGTACCAAAGGAGCAGACTGAGCTAAAGAAGTCTGACGTAGAACCAAAAGAAGTGAGTTGGTATAAACAATAGTACCCAAATACTATGCTTCGCTCATATTATTTTGCTTACTGAAAGGTAATTGCTTCTAAGCCTATTATCAGTATCTATTGGAATCTACTGTTGATAATTCAATAATTTGAATTGATAATTTGTAGAATCTGAGTTAAAGAGAAGGAACCTTGACACTTCATATTATGTTAATCATAGGGCTCTTCCAATGGCCCTAATGATGTAGCTGCCCAAATACTATTTTGGTTTAAATTTAAAAGTGAAATTAAAATAATGGTCTGGTTTCAGCATAGCAGAAAGCCACAATTTTCTGTTGCATGCCTGAGCTCTGTGCTAGTCCACTGCCCTCTTTCTTCCTGATGCACACATTAGGACCTTTATTTTTATTTCATTTATTTATATATCACATTTATATATCCATCCATCTCACACATAGCAACTCTGGCTGGTGTACAACAATTAAATAAAATAACAAATGGATAAAAACAATCATTATAAAAAGATAAA